TAAATGTTTACCAAATGAAGGGATTCCCTGCAATGACCTAGGAGACAAGAAGGTGGAATAAAAACTCACAAGCCAAAAGTGGCTAGGAGAAGGTTTTCCAAATCCCAGTGCTGTGTGAGCACAGGGCCCGCTGATGTTCGCTTTTAGAAGCTTCCCGTCTGCCTTGTTCTCTCTCATCAGAGACATCTATGCTTCCCCGCCAAGGTCTACCTAATCACACATTATCTTTCAGGACCACCTTTCAGATTAGCCGGGTGCAAACCCCACATCAGCTTCCTGCCTTAGCTCCAAATACTCAGCGTCAGGCCTGGTGTGGGGCTTCATGTTAATCCTAACACTTTGGGAGGCTGGGGCAGCAGATCACTTGAGCCCGGGCCTTAGAAACCAGTCTGGGCAACATAGTACAACCTTATCTCTACAAAAAACACAAAACATTAGCTGGAACTTGTGGCGCACACCTGTAGTGCCAGCTATTCAGGAGTCTGAGGTGGGCGGATCGCTGGAGCCGGGGTGTTCAAGGCTGCAGTAAGCCGTGATCATGCCACTGCATTCCAGCCTGGATGACAGAGTGAGACCCCATCTCAAACAAACAAAAACTACACCTCTGAGGCTAATTTGGTGGGAGTTAAGAGCTTATCCTACTGCAGTGTCACTATGAGTGATATTGGGTGGCTTTAACATTGGGGGATGTTTACATTTCTAAAAACAAAACTGCTCCACAAAGAATGTAGAGTTTTGGTGTGTGCAGGGGTCTTCAGGAGAAAAAAGGCAATAACTCTAGTAATATTCAGTAGCTGACTGTCCCACCCACCTGTCACCCACAGCCTAGGCAGAGGCTGGACTCTTACCCCAGCCCCTCCTCTGTGTGTCCTGGATGTGGATGGTCCCTCAGTGTGAACCCACCTGGGCTGTGACCCTGGCTGCTCTTCCCACTGTTATGGAGCCTCTGTGGGTGTGGCGCATGCAGGGGGCCTGCTCAGGAGACCGAGTGCCCTTTAAGTCTCAAGGTCTACATTTTTGAAGCACCCATGTCAGATGTTCAGGATGGAAGGGACTCAGATGCTCAAAACATAATAAAAGAAAGAATCCATCCCACTCTGTCAGGTGTGGTGGAATTAAAATTAAATGACAATCGATAATCTAAAATGGTCATATTCTCAGTGTTGACTTTATTATTCAGCCGATGCCTATAACCCAGGGATGGATCAGACATTGTGGAGGAAGAGTTTATTTCTTCTTTCTGAAGGCTCCATCAGCTGGAGTTTTTGTGCTGTGATGTTGCGAGGAGACTTTGCTTCAAGGTAAGTTAGGACTGAGCACAGTGGCTCACCCAGGTCATCCTAGAACATTGGGGAGCCTAAAGGAGGAGGATCACTTGAGCCCAGGAGTTCAAGGCCAGCCTAGGAAACAGTGAGATGTATTCTGTTCAATTTTTTTTTTAATTAGATGGTAATTTTAGTTCTTTCTTGTAGTCTTGGCTACTCTGGAGACTGATTCTTCACTTGAGCCTGGGAGCTCAAGACAGCAGTGAACTATGATCAACTCACTGCACTCCAGCCTGGGTGGCAGAGCAAGTCCTTATCTCTAAAAAAAAAGAAAGTGACCTGACTTGGGACAGGACATTTGGAGTTTTTTTTTTTTTTTTTTTTTTTTGAGACAGAGTCTTGCTCTGTGCCCCAGGCTGCAGTGCAGTGGCGCGATCTCGGCTCACTGCAAGCTCCGCCCCCCGGGTTCACGCCATTCTCCTGCCTCAGCCTCCCAAGTAGCTGGGACTACAGGCGCCCACCACCACGCCCGGCTAGTTTTTTGTATTTTTTTTTAGTAGAGACGGGGTTTCACGGTGTTAGCCAGGATGGTCTCGATCTCCTGACCTTGTGATCCGCCCGCCTCGGCCTCCCAAAGTGCTGGGATTACAGGCTTGAGCCACCGCGCCCGGCCTGGAGTTTTTTATTAAAATTGTATTTCAAATGTTGTAAAACTTCATAATCAGCATTTTATCCTTTTAGAAAGTAGAATCTGCTCAATTACAGAAAATATAAAAAATGTAGAGAAGCAGAAATGTGGAAAACACCTGTGTCCCCACTGGGGGGATCAGGATGAACCTCTGCCTGGCAGAGCCTCAGAGACTTCAGTGAAGAGGGGCCCTGGAGCTGTGCTTTGCAGCTGCCCTCCGAGTTTCCATCCCTGGTATCTGTGCATGTGGTGTCTGTGCAGGACGACTTAGTGTAGTCACACTGTATGAGTTATTCAGAATCTTGCTTTTTCAAACTTCATTATTATCAATAAGCAACTTTATATGTTATCACAAACTCTTCTTAAACAGTACTTTTCCTGGCTGTATACTATTTCCAAAAAATGACCTAGCTACTTTTCTTTTGCAAGTTCTTCTTCCTTATTGTAAATAACATCTGATTAATATCCTTATACCTAAAGATTCTTCTATATTTTGGATTTCATTGTAGAATTATAGATTTTTCAAATATAAGTTATTTGGTCAAAGTGCACAAACTTTTTTTGTTTTGTTTTTGAGACGGAGTCTCACTCTGTCACTGAGGCTGGAGTGCAGTGGCAAAATCTCAGCTCAGTGCAACCTCCACCTCCCAGGGTCAAGTCATTCTTGTGTCTCAGCCTCCGGAGTAGCTAGGATTACAGGCGTGCACAACCACACCTGGTGAATTTTCTTATTTTTAGAAAAGACAGAGTTTCACCATGTTGATCAGGCTGGTCTCGAACTCCTGACCTCAGGTGATGCACCCACCTCGGACACACATGTTATAAAATTGCTTCTCAAAAGCAGCATACCAATTATATTCACCCATCATTCACCCCTTATTTGTCAAATCCCTCCTCTGTACTGGGATGTCCTAGATGCTGGGGATACAAGTGGTGACTGGACGAGGTCCTGGCCTCAAAGATGTTTCAGTGGTACAGACGACAACTTTCAAATTTATTCTAATATCAGTGATGTTATGGAGAAAATATGCCTGGGTTAGAAGATTGGTGGTGGTGAGGATGGCAGGAGATGTATTTTGTTGGGTAAGAGGTTCCTGAAAACTTGACCAAGGGACATTTGAGCAGAGAACTAATGGCATGAGGAGTGAGCCATGTGGATCCGTGGGGAGCAGGTGCCTGTGGGAGTCCCAGCAGTGGCCAGTGGCAGAGGCAGGATGAAGCAGTGACAAGAGACTGGTGCGAGTGGAGATGAGTGAGCTGGGCTGAGGCTGGTGGGATGAGGCCAGAATGGCCAGAAGGACCCTCTGATGAGGGGCTGATAGGAAATGGTGAGAGGAAGGGAAGAGGCTGGAGTGTCTCTGGGAAGCGGTGTTGAGGATGTGCTCTAATTCCCATTTGAAAGGTTCACTGCCTGTTGTGTGGGTGATGGACAGCTGCGTGAGAGGCAGCAGGCAGCCCAGCTGGAAGGCCCTTCTGGTTTACTATCCTACAGAGGATGGCTCTGGGGAGGAGGCAGTAGAGGAGTGAGAAGTGATTGGTTTTGGGGTTAATACAGTTTTCAGATGGTCTTAGCAGTTATTTAATAGAGAACCACACATTTATTTACCGATCTTCATTCCACAATTGATTCCAGGTAGCTTACTGCAATAAACCTAATTAATAAATATACATGAATTATTTAAAAACCAACAGTTAGGAAAAGATAGACTTAAAATATTAAAGCGGTGGTAAAGATAGAACATTGCTAGGCGAGAAGCAACCTCTGAAACATTTGCTGAAATGGAGTTGACTGTTTACCTAGCCATGGATTTGTTGGCTCACAGTTTTATTGCATCAGGGAGCCACAGAGAGGGGTGACAGTGCAGGTCACCTGGCCCTTGTTTCCTGTTTCAGGAACATTTTCCTGTTTTACACTTAAAGTTAAAGCAAATTATGTAACTGTAATTTGTTCAAAAATGAAATCAACACCTAAAAAGGCAGACAGTGAATGTACAAACCCCAGGGGTCTAAGGACAGTCTACATTTCTCCCCCAAAATATCCACACCCTGCGCTATTGAATGGAGAGGGTCCTTTCCAGGGGCCCTAAGATGCAGGGGCAATTGGGCTGCAGCCCTAGCTAGAGGTGACCTTCTTTATGCCTGCAGTTTCCTTAGCACCTGACAGCCAACTTCAGTGATCTCACCTGAGCTAGGAATTTATTTATTTATTTATTTATTTGATATTGGTTCTATTTGAGCCATTGTGCAGGCTTAAAACTGTGACATGGAAATTTTGCTATAATTTTTTTTCTTTGATGAAATTTGACATACATGGTGGCTCTGGCTTCCCTGTCGGTCCCAGGAGAGAATGGAGTGTCCTGCACTTTTTTTTCAAGATCCTTGTGTGTAAGAGGGATCAGGAGACTTGGAGTCAGGGGCCCCTCCAATCTCACCCTGCTCTCTAATGCTTTCCACTGTGGGGGCCTTGGCTCTCTGCACATCTGATTAATATAATTGTCCCAGCTCCTGAAATAAAAGCACAGGTGCACATAACACTGACTCCTGCGTGCAGTGCCAAGGTGGGGAGGTTTCCTGGATGCCAAGTTTAGCACTTTGACTCCCATTCACACACACACACACACACACACACACGTACACACTCTCTCACAGACACACACGCTAACTCATACACACAGGCACACACAGTCGCACACACATTCACACACATATTTAGGCAGATTCACACACACGGGCACACACACACAGGCACACACTCACACAGCCTGAAGGAGCGTTGTGGGACAGGCTGACTTCAGGGGCAGAGTAACAGGAGTCCTTCAGGTCCCTCTCAGAAGCCTTTGTCTCTTTTCCCTGGAGGTGGAGGAGTCTGTACTCCATGAGGGGACGTCCTCGGAAGAAGGGGGGAGATACTCAGGAGTGGGGTCCAGAGATGGACAAGGATGGGAAAGTGGAGACAAAGTGGAGGGGGAGGGGCAAGAAGAGAGCACGCGAGGAATGGGGAAGGGGAGGACCTTCTAGCGGTCAGAAATATCACACGCAGAATTTGGTTCTTGGTTTTTGTGTTTTATTAAGATGGATTTAATAAACCAGCCGAAGCGCGAGATACGGAGTCTACCTTGCAAAGGACGAGTCTTAGTCTCCTCCTAGTTTGAACTCATCAGGAGTAGCTGGGAGAAGGGTGCCAGACGCCTGTGTGGGACGTGCAATGCCCCTTTGCAGCCACCCCATTCTCTGCACCCCACGGACCTCTCCTTCAGGGACCATGCTGGTCCCCTCCAATCCAACTGGAAGGAAAGGAAGAAGTTAAAGGCTTTGGATCCTTCCTAGCGCTCCTTTTTCTCTGCCACTTATTCCCAGAGTGGCCTTGCCTCTGCTCGGCTACCCCAACCTCACTATGACAAAGCACATCCTGCGCCCTCTGGCCAGAAATCCTCCTTTGGCCTCTGACTCACTGGTGCCATTTCACTGTGTACTGTCCTTTCGCCCATTGTCACTGGGTGAAGCTCCAGAGAGCTTGGAGCCCAAGAGGGCTGGATTCTTAGAGCGTCGCTGTCCGCACAAACATTCTTGAGATTTCTTCAGATCTGAAAGTCAGCCTGAGTTTTTAGATTTGCTTCGAAAGGCTTTGGCCCTTGGAAAAAGGAAATCAACACTCCAGGAACAAGATTTTCCTCGACTTTGTCTCAACCCAAAGACACTATAGCAGTGCAGTTTTCAAACCTGCTTTGAAAATAAATGGGACAGCGTGTCCCCACTGGATTTTGCGTTTCCCTTTTTATTACAGCCCGCCCCTTTTGTAAAATGGTTACACATCTCCCTACTGCACTAAAAACAGCTCTATCAAAGACACTTTGAGAAAGATTTAATGACCTGAAAATATGAAGTCCCCTTAAAAGTGAGTTTCTGGAGTTGGGTTTTAATTAACACTTTGGGTTTTAAAATCCTGTAACTATTTGGGTGTGTAGCTTACATTTAACCACCATACAAAGCCAAGTTTATTATTTTTATTTTTAAATTTTCTTTATTTATTTTTGAGACAAATCTCTTTCTGTCACCCAGGCTGGAGTGTAGTGGTGAGATCCTAGCTCACTGCAGCCTCAAACTCCTGGGCTCAAGCTATCCTTCAGCTTCCAGAGCCTGAACCATCGTGCCTGACCAATATCTGAGTTTATACTGTAATATAAAATTCCAACATTTCAGAGAAAGCGAAAGTCACAAAGTTACCCCAGTCCCTGGGGTCCCTGCCAAAATTTTGGTGAGTAATCCTCCGGGTTTTCCCTACTTAAAATATATACTATGTAAGTGGCATTAGTGGTACATCTTTACATCCATATATCCTTATCCTTTTAAAAATGGGTAAAAGTAGGCTGGGCACAGATCTTCTCATAACAATACTTAAAAATTCATCCTCCTCTTTTTAAGGACTGCATGGAATTTTAACGCATGGCTGTTCTTTAGAGGACTATGGAAAAGTTATTTCTTTATCTTCATTGTGGTAGCGGATATGTGGTTGTGTAAAACAGCCAAACAGTACAACCCCATGAGCTGTACATTTCAAATACATACATTTATTGTATGCAAAGTATGTCCCAATAATGGTTTAAAATATTATCCTGTTTGAGGTTTGTACTTTGACTTTGTAAAACAAAACAAAACCCTTGTTTTTGTACCCAAGAGATGCACCCTGGCACATCTGGAGGTAGAAGCTTGTGTTCTCTGCAGCTTGACCACCTCACAGGCTCTGAAATAAGAATAATAAGCCATATATTTACAGATTCACACACAGAGAAAAAAAAAAAGCTATGGTAAAAATGTTCATAAATAACAAAACTAGATAAAAGACAAAATTAAAAGTTAGAAATAATAAAACTACATCTTTCAAATATTATTCTCACCCTCACCTTTTCCCTCCCCTTTTCTCCCCCTCCCTTCCTTTCTTCGAAATGTCCCCCCCATTCTTCCCTCCTTTCTCCATTCTCTGCTTTCGATCCCCATGTATTCCAGCCTGGAGGCCAACACACGTCACCGCGTCCGCCTGGGGCAGGTCAGGGAAGGGACGCGAGGCAGCGCTATCACGGGATTCCGTGAGCCGCAGCGCCCTGGGCCCCGCTGATCTTGTATCATTTCAGTGACCTTCGCTCCAGTCTTTGATGGGGCCACACTCGGGGTGTAAATTAGGATCCTCACTGAAGGGGCGGGACCCTGGGAGGCTTTTTCCTGGCCTGTTAGTTGTGGGTTTTCCTTCGGGCGGTGGAGCCCGTTTCCATCAGAACCGCCCAGAGGCGGCCTCTGCCTTCCTGGGGAGACGGAGCAGCAGGAAGCGTTTTCGGATCCTGGAATCCGTGGGCGGCCCGTGGGAGGGACTGAGGCGCGTTTCCCTACTCACCCGGCTCCGAATTCACCGCGGTGCTGTTTCAAGCGACTCAGATTCCAGATCGCGCTCCAGCCCGGACTAGGAATTCCTGCCCCGCGGGTCTGCATTTCACAGCGGCAGATGTGAGTGACCCGCAGCTGGAGACCAGAAGCCTGAAGGCAGCTCCGCCCTCCCCAGCCCGCAGCGCCGTTGTTCCGTTTCTATATCAGTAAACACGTTTCGTTTTCCGTAGACCAGAGCGGGGTGACGGGTGATCCCAGTGCTCGAAGTGAACTCCGGGCCACAGACTTGAAAACGCGCGCGGGCGCCCAGCGCAGCCTCGTCCTGAGTTACACAAGCGACCGCGCTGGGACGTTTCTCTTTCTTTTCCGGACCCAGCAGTGGCGCCTAAAGTCTGCGAGGAGAATATTTCCTGTGTGCTGCTAAGTCCAGGAATCTAAGGCAAGTGCTGAGGGTGAAAGCTTCGTTGATGGGCCTGAAGAGAAGAGGCTGGAGATGGGATAGAGGGGGAGGGCTTTGGACAGAAAAGAGCTGGGAGATTTGTTTGGGGAGGGCAGCCAGGCCTAGACCTGGGGAGCCACTCGCCCAAAGTCCAAGATTATCAGGGCCTCCCCTACCCCAAAAAGGGAGGGATTGGCTTCCCGTCTTGTGATCACCTCTAAATGCATAGGAACAAACTTTGCATATTATTATTATTATTATTATTATTATCGTCATTGAAGTATTAGAAGTCTTTTTGGGGGTGAGCTGAATGAGACCCTTTGCTGGAACTGGCACAGGGAGAAAAAGTCCTCCACACAGGGTAGACACTGTGGAGGGAAGGGCTTGGGGCCATTGTCAGGAGAGCTGGGTCCATCTCCCTCTCTACCCTCACTACCCTTGTGACCTTTAGCAGTGTAAATAATCCCTCTAAGGTGGGGACAGGACCCCAGTCCCTGCTGTGCTCAATAAATTATGATGATCAAAATAAATAATCAGTGAATATGGATGGGAAAATTGAGTAATTGTTAAAACTCTGTGATGTATGACATTTTCATCTACAGAAAAGTGCAGGCTAGGGGTCTTGGGGAATGGCTAGTAATCATAGGTATAGTTCCATTTAAAAAATAATGTTCGTAAGGCTGACGAAGATGGAATGGACACAGTTCCTGATCATGGATGGTTCATTGTCTAATGGGGGCTGGTACCAGATGGTAAATGACAGTTGGGCGTGGTGGCACTCGCCTATAGTCCCAACTACTCAGGAGGCTGAAGTGGCAGGATTGCTCCAGCCCTCCGTGGAGCGGGAGCCGCGTGGCTCAGGTGCGATGTCAGGGGTGGCGGAACTGAACGCGGCTGGTTGCCGCCACTCCTCAGCCCTGCTTTCTTGTCTCTTTTCAGTCCTCCTCGGGGTCGCGCATCACCCGTCCCCTGCACTTTCTGGTCTCTTCTTGCATTTGGTCTCCTCACCTCTCTTCCGCCTCCTCTCACTTTTCGGACAAACCAATCCTTCTGATGTCCCTGGGTCCCCGGGCTGTTCCTGTGAATGGCATTCGAGGGCCCTTCCAGCTCTGCCGCAGAGGCAGCCACATTTCCCGGTGCTCGACTTTCGGGTCCCTGAAGCCCTGTCCTTTCCCTAGAGTTCGCGTGTTCTCAGCTCCCCGCCGGGCCGCCATCCTTGGAGTTGGGGCCCTCCTTTTTTCGAGACCAGGAGCTGGTGCTCCCTGTTGCTGTGAGGACTGTGGGGCTCCTGACTCTCAAACTGAGGGGTTGGAGTCTGCAGGCTCCGGGCAGAGGATTCTTCATGCGACTTCTCCCATCCCCAGCTCATTCTCCCCTGGCCGGCCCTTCCCAGGGTTCTTTCCTCTCTGGCAACCCTCCCCGCTGCTGTGGACTCCAATGATCTAAGGACACCAGGTTCCCTCCAACCTCCTCCCCGTCCCATCTCAGGGTCCCCTGGGTCCTGTTGTCCTCCCTGCTTCCTACTACCCCTTTCTGTCTGCAGTTCTCTGATCTATTTGTAGGATATCCTTTGCCCTCATTCCCTGCCCTGCCACCGCAGGTCCCTCTTGCCTCCCTTATGGGCCATTCCTACAAGCAGCCTTCACCCAGTGCTGCCCTATGCCTCCCCCTTCCCAAATGTCCCTGATCCTAACTTTCTGGTGCTGCCTTTTGTCCCGTGGTCTTCCCTCCATCCCACTTTCCTCCAGGCCACTTGAGGGGAGCCCTGGTGCTAATGAAAGTTGGGCCTTAGGCAGGGCACAGGGCAGCACAGATGCTTCCTCCCCTCCAGTGCAGGTGCCTGCTCTGGGCCCTGCCTCACGGTGGCCCCTTCCCCACTCCATCCTCAGTCTCACCCTCTTGAGGACCCCACCCTGCAGCACACAGGTGCCGGACCATCGCTCCCTGGTCCCTCTGCCCCTTTCCACCTTGGGACCTTGTGCTGCTCCCACCTCTTGCCCAGCTGCCTTGGGCCCTCAGCAAATTCTCACCTTCCCCAAACCCCACCCTCCCCCACAGAACCCCTCCCTTCCTGTTCTCACTTTACCCTAAGTTCTCCCAGGGTCACCCCCACTCCATGCTCATGCCATCCTTTAGTCTTTGCCTTGCCCATCTCATCACCCCCACCTAGACCCAACACAGGCTCTTGTCCAAGGGCTCCTTGACCTACATCCTCTTGGTTCCTTGACCCCAGTGGGCTCTCAGTTCCTAGACTTATCCAAAATCTTCACTTACCACATAGTGGGCTGTGGTCGTCTCCTCCTCTGGGCCTTCTCCCAGCACCACCTTCCTCCAGTGAGAGTTTTGTAACCTGAACCCTCTTTTGGAGGGTGACTGCTCCCCTTCCAGCACCGCTCCCCTCTGAAGGCCCTTCCTCAGGCGTGAATCTCACCTCTGCCTTGGTGTTTTTCTCTCTGACCAGGACCCCAACCACTTTCTAATTCTATATTATTGTTTGGTACACTGTGACAATTTCATTTTGTTGTTTAATTGTGGTAAAATATACATATAGACTTCACTATTTTCACCATTTAAAAGTGGACAGTTCAGTGGCATTAAGTACATTCTCATTTTTGTGCATCCTGAAACTCTGTGCCCATTAAACAGTAACTCCCCATTCCTCCTTCCCCCTGGCCCCTGAAACCACTGTTCTACTTTTTGTCTCTATGAATTTGGCTATTGGGAATTGTGCTGCTATGAACATGAGTGTTCAAATATCTTTTTAATGTTCTACTTTCATTTCTTTTGAGTAAATACCCAGATGTAGAATTTCTGGATCATATGGTAATTCATTGTTTAGTTTTTGGAGGAACCAACACACTGATTTCCATACCAGGTGCCCCATTTTGTCTTTCCCAATGTAGTACACAGACATTCTAGTTTCTCTACCTCTTTGGCAAACTTGCTGTTTCTCTCTCTCTCTGTGTGTGTGTGTGTGTGTGTGTACGTGTGTGTGTTTGATTATAGCCATCTTAGTTGGTGTGAAGTAGTAGCCCATTGTGGTTTTGATTTGCATTTCCCTAATAACTACTGATGTTGAGCATATTTTCATGTGTCTATTGGCCATTTGTATATCTTCTTTGGAGAACTGGCTATTCAAATTCTTTGCCTACACAGTTTTTTTGAGTCTTGTGCTTGTGTTATAGGAGTTCTTTTTTTAGATATATTAATCTTTTATTAGAGATATGATTTGCAAATATTTTCTTCCACTCTGGTGGCTGCTTTTTCACTCTGCAGATTGTGTTTTTTAATGCTCAATTTTTTTTTATTTTGATGAGCCCAACCTACCAATTTTTTCTTTGTTGTCTGTGCTTTGGTGTTATATCCATAAATGTGTTATCAAAACCTATGTCATGAAGATTATTCCCAGTGTTTCATTCCAAGAATTTTTCAGTTTTAGTTCCTGAGTATAGGTCTTTGATTTATTTGGAGTTAACTTGTATATGTGGTGTAAGTTAGGAGTCCAACTTCATATCTTTTTGTGTGTGAACATCCAGTGTTCCTAGCACTGTTTCTTGAAAAGATGCACTGACCCTCCCTTACTCCCACCTTGTCCACGATGAGCCTTCCTCAAAGGCAGTGGCCCTCGACTCCATCTCACCCTCACCTGTGCAGCACAACCATGCTGGTCATGGGTCACCCTGAGCCTGGGTCCCTTCCTGTTTCCACCCTCTTCTCTGGCAAGACCTTCCTTCCACCACTGTCCTCATGCTCCTCCCTCACCACTGCAGGGCAGCCTCTCTCCTTGGCCTCCTCCCTATACCCTTAGGTGGCCTGTGGCTGCTCTGCCTTGGCACCTGGCCTACATGTTTGCCATCTCCGTTCCCCCATCTTCCGTTCCTCAGTCCGCTCCTCCATCCTCCTGCCCTCCCAGTTTTCCTTGTATCTGAAATCCTCTTTCTTGTCCCTTTGCCTGTGTGCATTTCCTGCCTCCTCAGGAAGGTCGGGACCGCAGACCCGTGTGTTAACTTCGATGTAAAGTTGCTTCCAGGAAGAAGTTTCATCTGTGGTTTCTTCTTCCCCAGAGCCCCACAGTCTTCATTACAACCTCACAGTGCTGTCCTGGGATGGATCTGTGCAGTCAGGGTTTCTCGCTGAGGGACATCTGGATGGTCAGATCCAGGGACATCTTCCTGCTCTTCAACAGGCAGAAAGGCAGGGCTGGGTCCCGGGGACAGTGGGTGGAAGCAGTTCTGGGAGCTGAGACCTGGGACACAGAGACTGAGGACTTGATAGAGAACGGGAAGGACCTCAGAAGGGCCCTGGCATATATCAGGGGCCAGAAAGGAGGTGAGAGTAGGCAGCGGGCAAGAGTGATGGGAGAGGCCTTTTCCAGGAGAGCTGGGGGCAGAGAGCAGGGACCTGTCTGTTCCCACTGGATCTGGCTGGGGGTAGGGGTGAGGAATGGGAGTCAGCGGAGCTCAGCGGGGAGGTGAGCCAGCACTCAGCCCACCCAGAAAGGCATGGAGGAGGGCCAGCAAGGGGTCCCCTCTGGTCTGAGTTCCTCACTGGGACTGGAATAGAGAAGTCACTGCTGGGTGGGGGTAGACTTGCATTCCCTCCAGGAGATTAGGGTTTGTGAGATCAGGAAGCCGGCAGCACCAGGGGCTTTAGGCAGTCCTACTCTTTTTTTTTTTTTTTTTTTTTTAGAAACTGATGTTTATTTTCTATCAACCATTTTTCCATGTTGCTTAAGAGCCCATGCAAGAACAGCTTAAGACCATTCAGTGGTTGCTCCTACCCATTCAGTGGCCTGAGCAGTGGGAGCTGCAGACCAGTCTTCCGTGGCAGGCTGAGCACTCCAGTCTTCAGTAGGGAACTGCTGAATAGGCACAGAGGGCACCTGCACACCTTCAGACCAGTCTGCAACCTCAGGCTGAGTAGCAGTGAACTCAGGAGCTGGAGCAGTCCATTCACCCTGAAATTCCTCCTTGGTCACTGCCTTTTCAGCAGCAGCCTGCTCTTCTTTTTCAATCTCTTCAGGATCTCTGTAGAAGTAGAGATCAGGCATGACCTCCCAGGGGTGTTCACGGGAAATGGTGCCACGCATGCGCAGAACTTCCCGAGCCAGCATCCACCACATCAAACCCACTGAGTGAGCTCCCTTGTTGTTGCATGGGATGGCAATGTCCACATAGCGCAGAGGAGAATCTGTGTTACACAG